TAAGAACGAGAAAAGAAACAAGAAGAGAGACTACAGCAGTGGCAACTGGAACAAGAAAGGAAACAAGAAGTACAAATGGAAAACATTAGTAAATTTAAAAGCGAATTAGATACGTTAAAGGACGATCTATTGTCTTTTACACAAGGAGGATACATTGACCATCGACTTAATCAGCCCCAGACAATGGTAAGCCCCTTACAAAGCCCGCAGCTAAACCCTAATGCAGACATATTCAGTCCCGTTAGAAGTCACATCCCAGATATGAATGTCAGTAATATGAGTGATCCAGTGCGAAGGAAGCCACAGGAATTCGATGGGAAGGCACCGTGGGAAGCATATAGAGCACAATTTGAGCTACTGGCAGAGATGAATGGATGGACAGAGGAGCAGAAAGCTGTATTTCTGGCAACGAGCTTGAAGGGACAACCACTGGAAATACTTGGACAGTTGACAGCAGCCGACAGACACAACTATAGAGCACTGGTGTCGGCTCTAGAACTCAGGTACGGAACCCAAAATCAATCAGAAGTCTACAGAGCTAGGTTTAGGACGAGAGTCCATGCTAAATGGGAGAGCCTGCAAAGGCCTACCCAACTGCATCAACAAAACAGGGATCCACAAAATATTAACTAAACATGTTCATGTTTGGGCAGGAGGTACTACTCCTTGTTGATGCAATGTATGGTCCACTCCCACGAGAAGACGTCTCACAACTCCACAGGAATATATGGAGTAATTAAAATCTCCCATGGTTTCTGCATATGAGGTCAGATGAGGAGAAAGGAGTGACAAACAGCTCCAATCGTTGGCTGGGTCGTCGAAGTTGACCTCATAATCGATATGGATGAGAACGATCAATCGTCATGAGGTAGGACAATCATTAGGTGAAGACTGAAAGGGAGTAGTGATCATATCAAATTATGTTCACAGTATGATGTATGCACTTCATTGTTTGATTACCACCAGCTAGGATCATCATTAGATCAAGCACCAAATGACTGAAATGAAGGAGCTTTCCTTACTTTCTGAGCTATTGAGTGGTGTTAAGGTACAATATATATGTACTATATTGTAGGATTACCACTCGATTCACAACACAGCTGTTTGGTCGAGAAATCAACTGCTGAAAGGGCCTTTCGAACCTTACTTTCCAAGGTATCGGGCAATGTTGTCTGATGCGAATATTACTCGATAATTTACATCTAGGCACACAGATTGAAAAATCAAGGACTGTAAGAGAGTTGCAACCTTTGCTCTCCAAGCTCTCGAGTGGTGACGTGAAATACTACATCATATGGTTGTTACTCATTCAGCAAAGGCTAAGGCAGTTGGGGAGAATAAATATAGTATCTAGCACAGGAACGGTTTGCACATTTGAGGATGGTTGCTAGGAGGACGAAGACTCAGTTGAAAGGGTCTTACTTTTTGAAATACCAGGTGGGTGGTATCTTATGGTATGATGTAACCTCTACATTTTCTTTGGTTTTACCATTTGATTTATTTCTTAAGTCGGGATGGTTATGTGGTTTAGACATCAGTGACTGAAAGAGCATTGTGACGTTATCCAACGTTCCGAGAGTGACACACCCATAATCTAGCTGAGAGATGATAATGATATGTAACACCCTGCCCTGTATTAGCTAGATTCTCATTGATATACCTGGGAAGTACGCCGATTCTATGAGCAGCATGGGAGTTATGTTTCCTCTGAGTGTATATTGAGATAAGTAGTAACAACATAAACATTTATCCTGGCTGATTAGACATTTAGATAAGAAGTCTTAACTCATCTGAATTTTGTCAGTGATTATTTATTGTGTGATGACTGAAATATAAATGAATTGACAACTACTAGATGACACCACTATCACTACCAAAACAGTTTGAAAATGTAACCCAAACGTTACCGAAGTAAATCATACGAGAGCAGAATAAAATCTGTTATGAACTATTAGAGTAATTGTCATTGTGTAATGGTGATATACAAAACTTTCTATATTTTTCACTATTGTGCATACATAATTCTTGGTGTAGAGTTTATTCTGTCTCTTCCTAAAAGGGCAGCTGATCTTTCTTTAAGGTTTTGTTTTTGTTAATTCTTTTTTACTGATAGCATTTTCTCTTAGACTACCCCATATTCTGTACTAAAGTTTCTTATAAGTAAGTTAATTCTTTTCTTCATTAAAGGTTATTTTTCTGACTACCAAAGTGTGTACTTGCATGTCTTGCAATGTTAAAAAGTATAAGTATGTACTATTTTAAAGGGTATTTCTATGTTATGTTCTTAGAGGGTTCATTTTTGTATTGTTTAGTTTTCATTAATAAAAAGTTTGTTTTAGCATATATGTACGTATACATATCATTTAATCCTTTGACAAGATATTACATTTTCTTTTTTACGTGTGTATATATAAATATAATGTATTGTTGCGTCAGCGAGGTCACGTGACTCGTTCTCTCGAACCTCCGGGAATTGTCGGGAGATTACTAGATATAGGGTAGTCTGGTATATATAAGAGGGTGACAACGTGACGGGGAATAATGTGTGTGTAGACAGTGAGTAATTGATCTGCAGTGAGAAAGTATTGTTGAAGTTAACGTTCGTTATAGCGTTTGTTTTAGCGCGAATGTTGAAATCAAGTGTATCGTGAAGTTATATTCAGGAAGAATAAACCAGTTTTATTAAGTAAGGACTTGTGTCACTGAAGTTTCGTCGGAACGAATTTACGGAGAATCAATTAACAAACGGAGACGTAACAGTATATTAAACATACAGTTTTGTTTCGTTAAATGATTTATTTTTATTATTTTTGTATTATTTCATCATGAAACGTTTCACTTTAATTTTAACAAGTATCTTAAAAAACGTTTGCTATAATTATTTCACTTCATTGTATTATCTTGCATTCCTTTAAATCTTAGTTAACAGAATATTTCTTGCATTCGAGTAATGCAAAATCACGTAATGCAAAAGTACCCTTTGTTAAAGGGTATTTTTGCATTAAGTGAGTTCTTCTTTAAAGGTTTTATTTTTATATCACGTGTTTATTTATCTATGTAAAAGGTGTTTTTTTTATCTTTATGCATATAAATATACATAATTTGAAATTTAAAAGAGGTATCAGTATTATTTAACTGTTCTAAAAGGATTATGTAATATTGAATTATTAATATTATTATTTCCTTGTGTATCATATTTCATTTTGCTTAGGTAAAGGGTTTTTCATGTATTTAAATGCAGTTCTTTGTTAAAGGTTGTGTTGTCCTTGTGGCTTGTAATTAATCATACGAATAAAGGAAAGTTAACATGCTTCTTGGCCATACCTGAAAGTTAATGTTGATTTCCTTTAAAGTTGAAGTTAATTGTTGGTTTAAGTTCAATCCTGAAACACAGAGATAAAAAGAGAAACGTAAAATGCAGGCAAACCATATGTTTCCCACTATCGTTATTAATATAGAAATATTTTAATATTTTCATTTAGTCTATTTCTATCTAGTTTTGGCATAAACACGTGGTCCAGAATCCATTGAAAATGTTTTGTTCTAGTTGCCTTTGTGTCTTTGTTGTTCTGTAGCAGAGAGTACCTGTTTTGTCCGTAGAGATGTTGCCGCAACTTCACACTGCGTGTTGGAATAGGCCGTTAACAGCAATGTCCTTCTTACAGTTTTTGTATGTTGTACGAAAACGACTGGTCATGTGGTAACGCATACTGTACCTGAATAGAACCTAGATTTCCAGATTCCATAAGAAGTCTTGGTCCAGACAGAGTTCATCTTGGTTTCAACCTGATAGATCTCCAGACATATGTTTCTGTTCCATGATCCAGTAGTAGGAGATTGCCTTAGTATTAACGTAAGTGCACACCCTGTTTCTTTGCTTTATCTTATAATGATGATTGTTTACACTTTATATCACGTGTTCAGTCTATTTATTTCTTGCCCAGCTTAAAACTTAATCACTTAGTCACATTCCGTTTTCACTATCTATGTCACTTATGATCATTTTCATCACAAAATAATGAAATATTTCTTCAAACTTTCGCTTGACCCACCAATGGAAAGGATCACTGCCTTTTTATGCATAGCATGTTCCACTTTACAGCATTTTTTTTTCACGAGAAAATGCATGTGATACAACAAGGGAATGGCTAAGAACAATAGGTAGCTATGGCAAAAGGAATTTAGTCCCTGTCTTGACCAATGTTCTATTCTAAATCTATATACACTTATAGGAATAAATATTTAAACTTTTTTTTCTTTTGATGAATTGAAGAATTAAATTTATGAAACCTACTCTGATGCTTGAAGGGAAATAAATGCAGCTCAGAACACAGCTGTCCCTAATTTCGAACTGACATATTAGCAGGAACGGTAGTTTGTGAATAGCACCCATTGCCAGCTCATGGGTTACTCTTGTCTAGTGTTTAATTAGATTTGAATCTCACTTTTATAGCACACACCCACGTCCCCAAAGTGCGGATCGCGTTTTTCTGGCTACGGGACACAAACTCGAAATCCCCAGATTTACACTTTAACCACTATTCCTTGTCTGTCTAGTTTCTTTTTGATAGCTGAAGCAATCTCTATATAGTTTTAAGTTCAGTGAATAAAATACTAGCAATTTAAATTTAAATTTAGTTGAATATATGTCTATAAATTATATCTTTATCTCTTCGAAAAATGGATTCAAAGACACTGAAATGGAAAAATCCCTTTAAAGATAAATATATGTCTCATTTGATGAAGTTTCTGAGAAAAGTTAAATATACACCATGTGTTCCAAAATTGTTTCCATTAGTTGTGATATTTACGTGATGAAACTGAAATGTTTTAAATTGATAATACAGTACGTGTAAAATGCTTATTTTGTTCAAAATACGAATAACAGTTTGTTGCTTACCACTAGAGGTCAGGCAAACCGCAAACATGAGCTCTGAGCATCGCGGGATGTATCGAACCCTATTTCCTATTAGTTATACGTACTTCACCATTGAAGTGAAATATACGATAGAGCACCACAGTGGCTGACCAATCAGAAAGCAAGCAGGAATTATGATGGTTATAACAATCACTACGACTTAATTAGAATAAAAATGGTAGTGGATTAGTAACCAGTTTAACAATAACGGCGATTTGCCCTTCAGAGATCATAAAGCATTTCTTTGAGAAAGGTTTCATTCTCGCGGAGGTAGTACAGTTATTGAGCGTTTGACAGAGTTTAGGCTAAGGTGCATTGTCTTAGTTCTACTTTGTTCCGTAAGACTGCTACAATCATAACATGAAGGAAATTATACGACAGAATTTACGTCGAAGCAATGTCCGTCTAGCTTTATTGACAGCTTTCTATATATTGGTTTTAACGATCGGTGCTTTGATATTTTGGGCTACAGAGTCTCCTGAAGAAATCGATATGATACACATGCTTCGCAGTAAACGCTCTCAGTTCCTGGATGACTATTCTTGTGTTACTGGTAAGCACACATTTAAAACTTGAGAACTATGGGCCTTTCTATTTCATCAGAATTAAAACCTTTTTTTTTAATTATTTTTGTATTTCTAGTAGTGACACAATTTTGCATTATCATCAAAAATCAAATCATTATTTAAATTTACCTTTCCAATCTCTTAAAAACGATCAAGAAAACCAGTAAGAGCGAATTAAATACTTTTATATATATATAAATATATGTATGTGTGTATGTAAGAACTGATTTTCACTTTAAGTTTAATTGAAAAACAAGATTTGGTTTAGATTCACCGATGAGGCCTTTTAGACGCATTTTTCTTAGCTTTTTATGCACCAAACTACTTGTATGTTCGTTTCTTTGATGGATACAGGATTCATGATACCATGATACGTACAAAAACATGTAAATACAACATACCATCAATATTGTAATTAATCCCACAAGTTACTGGGTTTCCCTGTGTATTTTACGTAAAACATGAGTTACTTCATCCGCTGTTCTTTTTTTTTGTTATTTTTGCCAGTTCGTTACCATGAGTATTGTGAGAGACAAAATCATAAAATTACTTAATTAATGTGACGCAATATTTGAATAGTATAAAAGAAACAGATCTGTCATTATACCTACAGATATGTAATAGAATTTTGTCGTAAGTATAACTATAGTTGTTCTTTGAAATGTTATAATATTACGTAAGAAATGTTATAGTTTCAAGTATATCGTTAAAGTATGAAACGAGTGATCCTGTAAAGACGTTTGTGTATGGGCCAAGACGGATTTTTCGAAGTCTTTATTTGTGTAAAATTAAAGGGAAGTACGTGTAGGTTCTATGTTTGCCTGTTGCTAGCCTAAACGCCAAACCGCTCACATTGACACATCGAATAACACACAGTGTTACGTCTTATACTGACATCATTTAGTGTTATATATTAAATGCATGGTATGAACGTATGTTATTTTGTACTTACCTATTGTCATCTTGGTGCGATGTCCATTTGGAGTTTCAAGTCCCCAATATTTACCATCTTCAACTAAAAGGGAACCCTCTCGTGTCAAAAAACTTCAAATAGAAACTGTATTATTGTTAACTTATACCGAAGCAACCTAGCGCTCGTATACGTGGTATTCAACTAAAGCAAAGTATTAGCATGTTCCGTTTTAGCCTGTTGCCATGCTAAAAGTGCATTTTTTGATATGGCAAACTATTATAGTATATTTATCCCTTTATACCGATTTTATGTCAAAGCTGCTTAGGCTAATTTCTAATTACTGATCAGGGGAAAGGCAATCAGTCAGTAGCACCATCCACGCTAAGGGATTGATTATCACTCTTATAACACACACATAGCTTAAATTGGTGGTAATATTTTGCGGTATCGCACGAATTTGAAACCAATTTCAAAAATCCAGAACTCCACTCTAGGACCAATTTGCGTCCGAATTAAATGCAGAAAAATGTAAGAACATGCCGACTTTAAGGCCAAGTGCCATTATTTATGCCTAGCAGATGTGTATTCATCAATATGACCATACTTACCTAGGCATTGACTACACAGTTCTACTATGAGCAAACAGCTGCACATGATGCAATTAGAACTACGTGTAACACTTTCCCGTAAGTATTATATTTAGTGATACACAATTAGTAACATAAATATAGAAAAAACAACTAGTACTTCTGAATGATCTCGTCATTCACTGAAAAGTGCTTGCTTGTATGTGTCATACTGTTTTATTTATTTTCTGTTATGAGTAAGTGGTCTTTCCCCTTGGTTCTGACAGTCTTAACAATTGTTCCAGTAAATATACATACATCAGTATAATATTTGGCACTTGTTGACAAAACGACTTCCAGTGTAGACATCAATATATAGCACTTTGTTGACACAACGACTTCCAGTGTAGACATCAATATATAGCACTTTGTTGACACAACGACTTCCAGTATAGACATCAATATATGGCACTTTGTTTAAACAACGACTTCCAGTATAGACATCAATATATGACACTTTGCTGAAACAACGACTTCCAGTGTAGACATCAATATATAGCACTTTGTTGACACAACGACTTCCAGTGTAGACATCAATATATGGTACTTTGTTTAAACAACGACTTCCAGTGTAGACATCAATATATGACACTTTGTTGACACAACGACTTCTAGTGTAGACATCAATATATGACACTTTGTTGACACAACGACTTCCAATCTCACATGAGCACCCATAAGAGTGAAGGATAATATACAAACTATATAAACAAGTTTAAATATTATATAGGAGATGGTAATTAAAATATAAATCTTTTTTGTGAAGAATAGAATATTTTCCGTAAATGTAATTGAAATTTTCAATGGAAACAGCATCTCGAACGGGGCTAAATGGTCACATTCAAAGACATCTGGTAGTTAGGTATAGCCATTACAATTTTGAACTATTGATCAGATGGAGGGCAGCCAAGTAGTAGCATCCGCCGCCTCAGGGTTTTTGTCTGCTTCCTTGAAACAAATAACGAATTTGATTCCCTGTTATAACGTGCCCACAGCTAAAAGTGTGGAGCGTGTTACATCTCGAACCCCAAACTTTTAGATCTGCAGTCTGACGTGCTGACTACTAGGCCACGCTTGGCCCATTGTCCACGAAAAACTTGCTGTTTCTCCAGCGTTCATAAGGTTCAAGTTAAGAGTAAAACTTGAATGTCTTTTATTTTCGTGTAAACAACTTTCACAGCTGAGTGCGACTGCAGATGGATAGATATGTGATTATTTTGAAATAAATAGATAATCCGTGTCTTGAGTTCCCTGGATGAAGTGAGCTTAACAAGTTGTGATATATTATGCAACTTTAATCATTTAAATAATTTGGCGACTTATATGTATATCTGTTCTTATGAAGTCGTCTGTCGATAATCAAATTATCCAACTGACAGCCTAAATACGTGTAAGAAGATGAGATTCACTTTATCATTAGATCTGTGAGGGGAAAGGGTTGTGTTTTATTTGTTGCACTAAAAGTTATTATAGAAATCTGTACAATTTGTCCAAAAATCCTTTGTATCTCCTAGACATCAGGAGTTTGGTATTGTCAGCTTCAAGTCATGTCGTCCACTATCAGCTCTGTGGTATCATTGATATTATTTATATCAATATCATTCGAAAAGAAAGCGTACAACAACAGACTAGGATAAATGTACTTCACAACAACAGACTAGGATAAATGTACTTCACAACAACAGACTATGATAAATGTACTTCACAACAACAACAGACTAGGATAAATGTACTTCACAACAACAGACTAGGATAAATGTACTTCACAACAACAAACTAGGATAAATGTACTTCACAACAACAAACTAGGATAAATGTACTTCACAACAACAGACTAGGATAAATGTACTTCACAACAACAGACTAGGATAAATGTACTTCACAACAATAGACTAGGATAAATGTACTTCACAACAACAGACTAGGATAAATGTACTTCACAACAACAGACTAGGGTAAATGTACTTCATTCTTGGACTTACTCAATTTAACATTTCGTAAAATTTGACTAAAATCTTTTGGTATTTTAATATGAAGATAAGAGAGAAAATCGGCAAAATCTTGTAATACTTAAATATGAAGATAAGATAGAAATTCGGCAAAATCTTGTGGTACTTTAATATGAAGATAAGACAGAAAATAGACAAAATCTTGTGGTTTTTATAAATATAAAGATAAAGCAGAAAATCGTTAAATCACGTGGTTTCAATATGAAGATAAGACAGAAAATCGGTAACAGAATTTTATTCTGACACACGCAGATAATGCTCTTACTACACACATCCTTATCATGTTAACTGTTCTCTACAATGATCAAAGTTGTGGCACATACGAAAGGGAAAATTTCGTTTTGCTGTTAACTGAATGGTAGATTATTTAACATGTCACTTCGGGAAGATTATTTAAAATGTCACTTCGGGAAGATTATTTAACATGTCACTTCGGGAAGATTATTTAAAATGTCACTTCGGGAAGATTATTTAACATGTCACTTTGGGAAGATTATTTAAAATGTCACTTCGGGAAGATTATTTAACATGTCACTTCGGGAAGATTATTTAACATGTCACTGTTTCGGGATTGTAGAAACTTGTATTTATTGTGACGAAAGCACAGCAGAACGTTTTCGATCGCACAATCAATAAACTCTGTTGTCTCACCTCTCCCCACACACACCCCCACTAGAGCATGTGAAAATGACTAATCATTTCTTACTCTGATAAGCTCGTGGAAAATAATAATGCTTTGTATAAAAATATATATTTCATCACAGTTCTTTTTTTCTACCGACTGACAAAAGTAATTTATATCTGCGTACATTTTTTAAGTATTGGTTTTGAGAATATGAAGGTTTTAATTTATGCCTTTTTATTGTGAATTATAAATCAAGAAACCGTGTTCTAGTCAGTCGCCGTTATTTGAATTCATGCGCACAAGTTTTTCACTACTATTAGCATATTTCCGTCGCAATTCTTTGTTCATTCATCATAACATGAGAACGACAGGCGAAAGTTTGAGACTTTTTATCTTAGATATAATTATTATTGTTGTTGTTGTAACAATTTCTATTCTTGGGCGGATTCTGTTTTTTTTATTCGCTAAGACAATAATGCAAACTTCAGCCCATTTAACGATAACTAAAGCGTTTTTGCCCCCCAGAACTTAACGTTCTGCGCATTTGTTTTCAGTGGTATAACTTTTGTTTTGGAATTTTTGACAAAATTAATTCTAAGTAGTTTTTAGAACTTGAAATTTTAAGAGTCGTGAAAATAAACTTTCACTCAAAAATTAAAAGCGTCAAACTAAAAGTTGCTCAAATTATTTCAAACAAATGAGCAAGTATATTTACTATTTCGTCTCTAAAACTTTCCATTAAAAGTAGTTGAAAAAAACCGTGCAGTGAATCCCCAGTTTAAATATAATATCCATAAACAGTGGTTATTCCTAT